GTTCAGTTGGCTGCATCCCAGTTCTGCAGGGTGTCTGAACATGCTGGCACAAAGAAGAGCAGCAGGGTAGCTGAACACTCTGAATCATGAGTTGGAGAGAGGTGACCATACGCTGAAGAAACCCTGTAGAGATTAGCCAAAGAACTTCAAGCCACAACTGCTTATATGTCAGCTGTTGGAAAGTAAATGCAATGGACATATTCTTTATGCAACATTGCAGTAAGAATGGCTCCTTTGGGGACCAGGTATAGGCAAGCTGGGAAGGACAGAGAAGAGCCCATGTTCATTTTCATACCCCAGGTTTCATCAGGCCTGCCCTTACATCTTGATAGATCACCAATGTTTGCTCCCATCCAACTATCATTATTTTATTCTGCAAAATAATGCCTGTCTTTACTCACCCAAGAATAACAAAGTGATAAATTAATTAGATGCAAGGAGTGTAGTCATACCATTTAAATCAGCTGGCTTATACACATCACTGAAAAACAGGGACATTTGCTAGAAACCCATGAAGTGAACCAAGAAATTCCAATCCTCTCATTTGTATGATCTGCCTTTGTGTGCACTTCCAACGTGAATTACCAAACTAGTAATTTGTCAGTATGTAATTTAAATTATTAATATGTTCTTATGGTAGACTATTATTTCACTTAAACTCTAACCACTGCTGATAAAATTATTGCTAATTATGCAAGCACTTTAAAGAGTATGATGATTTTAAAGTCATTGAAAGGGAAGTTTTTAGGCAGAGTCTGGATGACCACCTGTCAGGTAAAGATTCCTAAGGATGAGGGCAAGGTTGGTGGGAAATGATCTTGATGACCTTTCCAGCCTTTTCCATGAATATGATACAGCACAGCCATTGAAATACAGGCATAGAATTTTCAAGAGACACAATATGATCCTATGCACAATTATGTTAGATACATAAATAGTCCAGAAATGAATATCCCACATTTAATTTTCAATTTATCCCAGGCAAATAATTTACTGATTCTCATATCACAAAATGTTTGGAATTACACCAAACACAACACAACTGATAGTCTCCAGAAGTTGACATTTTAAGAAATCAGGAGATACAAATCATATTAGGCTAAATATGCAACAAATTTACCATGACCTATATGAACAATGACATAGCAGTTATGTGTATAAATAAAATAACAAATAGATTCAAATTATTTGTTTGGCTTTGAAATAGATGACGAGATTTCATGAAGTTCATTTGCTGTAAGTGCTACCTTAAGCGCTTTACACCAATAATCTATTTTACCCTTCACAACAACGCTATTATGGAGGTTCTGAGGCCAAGAAAAATTGAGCAACTTGCTGAAGGTCACTCAGCTAGTAAGCAGCAGGGCAAAGACTTGAACCTGCCTCAAATGCTATCGTATCAGGAGCCCCCTACCCAGCACTGAGCACTGGGCTTCCTTGTTTCCTTACTTGCAGGCAATACTGAAACTAAGTTTATACCGGTGAATATGGGAGGAGGTTGTCTGAAGCCTGCCTAACAGACCAAAGAAAACTAATTTGAGTTTTAAAATGTGAATTGCACAAAGTTGGCAGGGCTCTGCAAGCAAAGGTATATGCATGCTACTACTATTATAAATAGGTTCAATATTCCTGAAAGCTATCTGTATCTTGGAATGAGAGCTATAAAACTTTTCTTGCCCTTTGACTCAGTAACTTCAGTCTTTGGAATATACCCCAAGGAAATAACACAGAAGAAAAAAGTAATTTGTTCAAGATGCTCATTCAGGAGCTCTTTGAATTAGTGAAAAACCAGAAACAACCCAAATTTCCAGTAATGGGACAATGATTAAGCAAACTATGCTATGTAGAAAAAGAAAAAAAAAACCTCATAATCCCTAAAAATGGCAAATATAGACTACATTCACATGTGGACATATATGTAAGAAATAATTCTACATTAAAAAGTAGACTACAAATTAGTAGAAGCATTGTCTTGTGCCAAGACTTTTTTTTTTTTACTTGTGCCAAGTAAAATACTATGTGCATTAACAATCCCACAAGACAAATGTGAATTTATAAAGAAGTAGATCCTTCATTTCATTGTTGTAACTCCAAGAGTGGAACTGGCATATAGGCTATCCATAATAAAAACTTCTAGACAATTTATATGGAACTAAATTTTTAACTGAGACCAGACTGTATCTCACATGTATTAATGTGTTGTCAGTAAGAGCTAATTTTTTTTATGAGGGCTCACTATGTGCTGAGCACTCTTCCAAGTTCTATCCCTGTATTCTCTCATATAATCCCTCTATAGCCTCATGAGATAAGTATTATTATTATCATCTCTCTTCCTAGAGGAGGAAATTGGAGCACAGAAAAGCAAAACAACTTGCCCAAGGTTACACAGGCTATGGCGGAGTTGGAGTTTCAACCAGGGTAGGCTGTTGCCAGGCTTATCTGCAGCCATTATGCCACAATGTCTTCTCTTATTTGAAAGAAGTATCTAGATCTTGTTCTTTCCCATTAATCACTTATAGATTTTTTCTGCTTTTTTCATGTATAGAATCCTTGTAGGGAAGAACAATATCCAGACACACAAGTTGAGATAAAATATTCTCCATCTAGTGTCACCTGTATGAACATAATTAACTCGCTCAAACTGGTAAGACTTCTTCCAAGAAATAAGACTAGAGTGGGGTTTTTAGCTTTAACTTTTGTAATTTTTTTTTATTTTTTTAAATTTTTTTTTTCAACGTTTATTTATTTTTGGGACAGAGAGAGACAGAGCATGAACGGGGGAGGGGCAGAGAGAGAGGGAGACACAGAATCGGAAACAGGCTCCAGGCTCTGAGCCATCAGCCCAGAGCCTGACGCGGGGCTCGAACTCACGGACCGCGAGATCGTGACCTGGCTGAAGTCGGATGCTTAACCGACTGCGCCACCCAGGCGCCCCTGTAATTTTTTTTAATGTAGGGTTTTTAAATCAGGTGAGGGAATTATAGAGACTAAAAAATAAAATGCTATTCTGGACACATAGGAAAATTGCAAAGGATAAAAACCTAACACATGGAGCAAATGTAATATTCAGTTGAGGTTGAATCTAAGAGATAAGTTGCCCGGGAATAAGTGACAAATACAGAAGAACATTTAAAGTTCTTGGAAAAATGATAATTTAGAAATAAGAATTTATGTTTTATATTTACCTAGTTTCTTATATTACAAAGTATTTGTTATTTACGATCTTATTGAATTCTCATGCTGTAAATGGTGAATAGTATAGTTGACAGAGGAGAGAACTGAGAGTCAAAGATTAAGTGTCTCACCCAAAGCAGGGCACTGTCCTTAGCGGGGCTGGAACTCCATCCCAGCCCTCATTCTCAGTAGAGCTAAACGCGGATGCTCTTCAACACAAAGCCCTGGGCAGACCTTCCCTCTAAATCATTCAGAGCTCATGAAGCCTTAGGCCGTAAGTATAAATCCACTGAGAGAAGTCCAGAAAACAAATCTGACAGAAGTGCAATCAGAGATGAGAATGAAATATACAAGAGGATCCTTTCAAGTGAAGGAGGCAGAGTGAAGGCAGGAATACCATCCATAATCTAAACCATTTGCGAGATGTCGTGGGCAGGTAGTGGGATGTTTGAAAAAACACAAAACTCTAATCCTTTTGTCTGAATCCTTATAAGAGGCACATGATTATAAGATTCTGTCACCGTTGGTGCAAATGCACAAAGTAACATTTTTGCTTTATCTGTACATTCCATGGAAACATTTGCTTAGTGAATGAGGTAGGCTACATTTTATACATCCCTAAATGCCCTCACCTTCTCACCTGACTCTGTCTTATGAAAACCTATGCTTTCTTGAGAGGTCAGATCAAATGCCACCTCTTCCAGAAGCATGTTATAGATCATCTTACTGATAATCTTGCTTTCTGCCTTGTTCACTCCAGGATGGCATTACATATTTGGGATTTATCTTTGTGCTTCCTACAGTCCCAACACAAGTGCCCCCACACTGTAGTTTTTCACTGAATCAGTAGGAAATTATCTGAGGTCCTATCATACTCTCAGGGTTTATAAACCTTTTCTTGGATATGGGTTATTCAAATTCAACTACAGATATGACCTCAGTAAAGGACCCTCTTCACTTAAAAATCTTGTCTCCTTATAATCATATTTTATGCTGGCCTTTTATACCAGAACATTTGCATTAATGTAATGCATTACTAATTAGTACTAGCAAATAGCAACTTCCCATCTTGAAGGCTAAACTATATAAAGTGTCTTTTTAATCAAATACATGTATGGCAGTCATCAAACTTAAACTAATTTGAAGTTTGCTTTTACCACAAATATTATAAATATTCCACCAGATTCTATTCAATATGAAGGTAATAAGAGCTTCAAAGCCAGAAAGAACTTCAGCTTTTTGAAGAGTCTCCTTTTTAATATGAGCTGGTGAATAAGCTACTGGTGAAAAACTTAAAAATTTCAGAACAAAAATACATTACTTCTACAAAAGTCAACTGCTCTTCAGGGACAAAAATAATGTTCTTTTTATTAGCAATTTGGAATAACAATTAAGTAACATTCATTTTATTGAGATTTTTATATAAGAACTGAGAAAACAATTCTTCGCAGTAGTTATGAAAACACAAGAGGAAGTGCTGAGTTTCCAAAACACAGTTTTGTTTCCCATCATCCCTATCTTCCCTTGGGTCATATGTGGTGGCAGTGTGACCCTCAATTAAAAAAGCTTACGTGTAAGTAAGATAAAGACCAGGGAAGGATACTACTGAAGCTTGCAATGCTTCACATTCTATGTACCACATTCAATGTACCACATTCTATGAAATATTCAAAACATCTGCTACATTTTGTAGAACACAAGAAAGGTTCTTTGATCCATGAATGGGTTAATCCAACAGCTATTCATGCAAGTCCTGTCCTTTTCAGGGAGAAGAGCAATCGATGATCAAGAAGGAGAGTACAAGTCACAAAAGCATGAAAACTTACTTTTTCATCATCTTCTGTAAATGGAGCACCTTCAGGAATCTTATTTATCGCCTGGGCCACACCAATAATCTCACCATCGCTGCTTCGGATAGGCATGCACAAGAGTGATTTTGTCTTGTATCCAGTTAGTTTATCAATTTCATCATTGAATCTTCGATCCTAAAATAAGACAGAGAAGGCATTAAATACATGTGCATTGTTATCAGGAAGAAAGGGAGATAAGTATATTTCTGTGTATGATATTTTATCACTAGGAACTTTACCCAACGAATTTTTTTTTTTTAATTTTTTTTTTTTTCAACGATTATTTATTTTTGGGACAGAGAGAGACAGAGCATGAACGGGGGACGGGCAGAGAGAGAGAGGGAGACACAGAATCGGAAACAGGCTCCAGGCTCTGAGCCATCAGCCCAGAGCCCGACGCGGGGCTCGAACTCCCGGACCGCGAGATCGTGACCTGGCTGAAGTCGGACGCTTAACCGACTGCGCCACCCAGGCGCCCCTACCCAACGAATTTTTAATAACAATACCAGATTCAATTTCATGCTGAAGTCACCAAAAGAACATAAATGAAAATAAATCATGGCCGTAGTTGTTAACCATGGTAAATGAAGAAAGAAGCTTTAAACCTGACTACAACAACATCTCAAAGTTGGTGAAGGGGCAAGTGTTTTTAATGGAATTCTATACTGTGGTATTTATTAAAATATTTTATTTAACATAGACAACAGATTATGAAGTATCATATAAGAAAAATACATAATAAATATATATTAGCCACTTTGAAAAATATGCAGAAAAGCACCACTTTACTTCTGGTCAAAATGTCCTATGAAAAAAGAACCTATGAGCCCATAATGATACTTTTAAAATATTAAAGCAAACGAACAAAAAAAGCAGGCTTCTTTATAGCATGTCAGCTTAAAAAATGTAGAAGTAGGGCACTTGGGCGGCTCAGTCAGTTGAGCATCTGACTCTTGTTTTCAGCTCAGGTCATGATCCCAGGGTCTAGGGATCAAGCCCTGTGTCAGGCTCTCTCTTTCTCCCTCTGCCCCTCTCTCCTGCTTGTGTTCTCTCGCTCTCTACCAAAAAAAATAATAATAATAAAATATATGTGTGTGTGTGCGCGCGCGCGCGTGCGCGCGTGCATGCGTGTAGAAGGAGTGGTAAATTATATAATATCTATTTTGCAACTACCAATATAATAACATATACAAGGATCACCAACAGATGTTAATACCACCAGGTAAAAGGTTGTTGTTAAACAGAATATTCACATAGTCTCAGACTGCCACCCCAAAGATTCCCTATTAAATTCAAAGAGAAAAAGATATCTTTATCATGAAAATGTCTAGTGGAGATCACCTTAAACAAGTAAGCAAACTTAGCATTACCACTAATGAGACAAAATAATATCATGTGCCTTCTGATGGGATGCAATGTGATGAGGACACAATATCATCAAAAACATGTTGTGTTCTTGTCAAATGTGTAACATAAATATGATCATTCAGGAAAAAGTAAAATTTTTAAAAATGCAGATTATTGGTCATTCTATCAGAAGCCTGACCTGAACCCTTCAAAAATGTCAATATCATGAGAGACAAAAAATTTTTAAATAAAAATAAATAGGGCCATGGGAGCTGTACTGGTTTAAAGAAGACTTAAGAAACTCAAAATCTAATGTGCGATCCTTCATTGAAAATTGTTATGCAATTTTTAAGGGGGATGACAGAGAAAGTTGAACATGGACATTATATTAGGTAATATCATTCTATTAACATAAAATTTCATAGGTGTGATAGTGGTTATTATAATTTTGTAGGAGAATGTTCTTTTTTTTAATGTTTATTTATTTTTGAGAGACAGAGGACTAATGGGGAAGGAGCAGAGAGAGAGGGAGACACAGAATCTGAAGCAGGCTCCAGGCTCTGAGCCGTCAGCACAGAGCCTGATGCAGGGCTCGAACTCATGAGCCATGAGATCATGACCCGAGCCAAGTAGGACTCTCAACCGACTGAGCCACCCAGGCACCCTGAGAATATTCTTTTATTAGGATATACATACTACAGTATTTGGGTGTGAAATGTCATAACACCTTCAACCTACTTTCAATGATAAGAAAGAGAAGGAAGGAAGGAAGGAAGGAAGGAAGGAAGGAAGGAAGGAAGGAAGGAAGGAAGGAAGGAAGGAAGGAAGGAAGGAAGGAGGGAGGGAGGGAGGGAGGGAGGAGAGAGAGAGAGAAAGAGAAAAGAGACTGGCTCCTGAAAAGGTAACAGGGACTAAAAATGTTCCAAGGAAGATGATAAACTAGATCCAGGCTCAATGCTTCCAGCAAGGGCCTGAGTGAAATGAAGCTTCTCCCAATGACCTCAATATTCTTTCTTAAAAGATGCTTAAAATACAAAAAAGCCCTGCTGTCTACCACCATCTAGAGCTATGAATTTCACCTGCCTAAGAGCCAAGGGAGACTAGCTGTGGACAGGGTGGTAGCCTCAAGACCAAACATTGTTAGCTTTCTGATGAGGTCTGTGTTATCTTCAGTATCACAAGGACAGAGCCTTTAAAATCCATAATAAGGCCTGGATCTGGTCTGGGACTCATGTAGGCTAACCTAAACCCTTAGGAAAGAAAGAGCCCTGAAGGAGAGAGGGAAATCAAAACCCAAACAAAATCAAATCACCTGCTCAAAATGAGCCTGCAACCAAACTTTCAGAAAAACACTAAATTTGTATTAATTTTTTTTTAATTCACCAAGATTACGACCCAGCAATGGCACTACTAGGTATTTATCTAAAGGATACAAAAAAGCTGATTTGAAGGTGCACATGCACCCCAGTGTTTATAGCAATACTATCAACAACAGCCAAACTATGAAAAGAGTCCAAATGAATTAAGAATGAATAAAGAAGATGTTGTATATATATACAAGGGAATATAACTCAGTGAACGAAAAGAATGAAATCTTGCAATCTGTAACAACTTGGATGGAATTAGAGTGTATTATGCTAAGTGAAATACATCAGTCAGAGAAAGACAAATATATGATTTTACTCATATATGAAATTTAAGAAACACAACAGATGAAACATAGGGGAAGTGAAGGGAAAATAATATAAAAACAGATAGGGAGGAAAAACCATAAGAAACCCTTAAATACAGAGAACAAACTGAGGGTTGCTTAGAGGGGTAGTGGGTGGGGGGATGGGCTAAATGGGTGGTGGGCATTTGTTGGGATGAGCACTGGGTGTTGTATGTAAGTGATGAATCACTGAAACCAACACTACACTTGAATTTAAATAAATAAACTTAAAAATAAATAAATTAATTAATTAATTAATTAAAATAAAAAATTCACCAAGGACCCATTCCGTGTCAAGCTGTGAGCTAGAAGATACAGCAGGAAGCAAAAGAGGCACCATCCCTGCCTTCACAGAACTTGTAACGTAATGTAATGCAGGTGAGGCAGATGACATTTAAATGTATCACCATATACTGTAGTAAGTAATACTAGGAAAAGAGCAGAATGCCATGAGAAAGACTTAACAGGAGGGACCTATTTCTATGGGGATCAAGAAAGGTCTACCTGAAACCAGGACAAGTAACCTGTGGCTTGCATCAGGAGTAAGAGTTAGCCAGTCAAAGAAAACTGGGAAGAACTTAACAGGAAGCTAGAACAAGGCATGTGAAAAGTCCTGACGCAGGAAAATGCTTAGTAAGTTCCCCAAACTCCAAGGTCAGTGTGGCAAAAGCACAGGGAGCCCCAAAGAGAAAGGAGGAGGAAGGCAGGGGTCAGATGGTGCCAAGTCTTACAGGCTTGGAAAGAAGTTATTACATTAACCCTAAACGCAGTGGAATATGATTGAAGATCTTGAAGCAGAAGGATATGACTCATTATCCAGCACTTAGCATTCACTGAAATCATCTTATTAGTTTACTTGTTTTCCGTCCAGTAGTACATAAGATCTAAGACAGCAGACATTTGGACTCTCCTATTGACTGCTTCATACTGGCATATTGTAGGTGATCCATAATTGTTTTTTTGAGTGATCAGATTATTTTTTTAAGATTCCTAAATAAATAAATAAATAAATAAATAAATAAATAAAAGATTGTAATGCAACTATGTAAAACAGAAAAGTTAGAAAGGCCCTAAGGGCCCATATTTTACTCCTTGGCATATGTTTAGAGATACTTTTGCACAAGTACAGAAGAGAGATATACAAATGTAGACTATCGGATCAATTATGAAAAAAAAATTAAAAACCATTTCAATATCAGTCAATAGAAAAATAAACAAATTATGATCTCTTGTCCTGATAACATACTGTACAACAATTTTAATGAATAAACTAAAGCTACTTGTATTAACATAAACAAATATCAAAAACGTTAAGTAAAACAAATAACCTATAATCTGATATCATCTATACAATACTACTAATATTTAAAAACAATACTAGGGGGCGCCTGGGTGGCGCAGTCGGTTAGGCGTCTGACTTCAGCCAGGTCACGATCTCGCGGTCCGTGAGTTCGAGCCCCACGTCGGGCTCTGGGCTGATGGCTCAGAGCCTGGAGCCTGTTTCCGATTCTGTGTCTCCCTCTCTCTCTGCCCCTCCCCCGTTCATGCTCTGTCTCTCTCTGTCCCAAAAATAAATAAACGTTGAAAAAAAAAATTTTAAAAACAATACTAAACACTATGTATGAATTCAAATACGTATCAAAAGTATAAAGCATAATGGGAATAATAAACTCTAAATTTATGTAAGTGGTTACCTCCGGGGAGGAAGGGAGGAAATGGCATCAGGGAGAGGTATGGAGGAAGCTTCAACTCTACCAATAGGTTTCTTTCTTTAAAAAAACAAACAAAACTGTGAAGCAAAATAGTACAATGTTAAGATTTTATAAACCTTAAGGGCATATTTACATCTAAATGTTTGAAGTATTTTATAATAAAAAGTTTAAAACCATTTTTTTAAAAAATTAATAACTTTGTGCAAGATGATACAGGATTGGAATATGATAAACCAATTAGGAAATTTCAATGATTGAGACAAGGTAAGAGGACGGTCTGGGTTGACAGAAAGGCAATGAAGGTAAGACAGATATGCTGGAAGTTGAATCTACAGTACTTCCTGATGGATTGGTTGAGGATGGGG